GAAATTGTACTTCTTGATACTGGCAAGATAAGGCCAACTTATTCTTTGTCTAAAATTTGGAATTTGTGAAGAGTAACTTTAATCAAGGATACTAGGATTCCATGTGCAAAATCTTTTTAAACAACTCAGTTTTAGGAACTAGTGTTCTGTTTCGCATTGTACATTAGACAAATTCTAGAAAGAATTATAAGTCAAACACCATTTTAAAAAGGAATTTCTGTTTAAGGGAAGACCGCTCTAAACCCTTTTATAATCACCTGTTGATCTGTTTTATAAGTTTGGCTTTTCCTAATGGTAGGCATTCCTCTGTATGAATGACATCTGCCCAAGAAAGTCATGGCATCACCTAAACAAGGAAACTGATGCTGGCCAGGCTTGTATCTGCCCAGGATGTTGCCAGCACTTAATATTCTATAAATAAGTGCAAGCATAAGAGGAAAGGAAGGATTTGGTGAAGCCAGATTATCTCATATTCTCTTGGTAGTTCAGCTTAATTGCGTGCCAGCAGGTTCACACTCATTCTTTGGTTTGGGATCACTGTTTCACATGCGCCCCTTTTGCTGTCATGCTAAAGTCTCTACTGTGAATCCAACAGAGTAAATAGACATTAAAGAATGTCCACCCTGGGGGCACCGAGATAAATGCTAAGAATAAATGTAAGTTCAGCAGATAATAGCACTGCCCAAGAAATCTAGAGAGGATCATGAAAATCCGTGATGCAGTATGGACAAAACTAGCATGGATTTCTAGTCCATCATTTTACTTCTCTGGAGCAGAGGCTGATGTGTTACCATATCTCAGAGACCCTTTTTAGTCTCTTTTCACTCACTCACTCAACTCTCAAGAATGGTAAAACAAAACAAACTTCTTAACATCTATCGTGGAGTCCTTTTTCTTTTTTATTCTTTTCCTTCTTTTCTTTTTCTCTTTCTTTCTTTCTCTCTCTTTTTCTTCCTTCCTTCCTTTCTTCTTTCTCTCTCTCTCTCTCCTTCCTCCCTCCCTCCCTCCTTTCCTTCTTTCCTTCCTTCTCTCCCTCTCTCTCCTCTGTCTCTGTCTCTCTCTCTTTCTTTCTCCACTGCCAAGCCAAAACTTTTGCTCAACCAAGGATGTGTATTTACAACACTGCTGTCACCTGCTTCCCTGACAGTGCAGAGAGACTTATATTTTTAAAATGTAATCTTTCTAATATCCAAAGCTGTTTTAAAGTGTTCTTTGTATTAAATACAGCTATAATTGTGTTAATGGCAGCAGTTCTGGCACTTATCAATAATTCTGTAATCATAACAATTATTTTGTGTCTATGTGGGAATTTCTTTAGAATAAATTTTATTCATTAATTTCATTATAAATGTCTCAAGTATTCTTTAGTTGAATCAATTTGATTAGTCAGCAGTCATTTTTGAAAGTAGTTTTATGTATACTTCATGGATACTTTTTGGCAAGAAAAACCAGAGGTACTTTTAAAAATTTTGAGAGTAACTGCACAATGTCTTTGATAATTTTTAGTTGTTTATGAGAGGAAGCTGCTATTGTATAGTACGGCTTTTTTCAAACTTATTTTTTTAGCAGAATACTCTTTCTTACTAGAATCTTACACGGAGCGCCAATACAAAGATCACAGGCTGGTTGCCTTGAGTGGGCGGGTGTCGGGTGGGTAGGGTGGATGGTGGGGTGTAGAGGTACCATGTTGTTCCCCTGGGATCAGGTACAAACCATTCTCTCGTCATTCTTATGTGATCCCCGTCGGGTGGGTAGTATGGCCAGTATTATTCTCACAATACAGATGAAGAAACTGAAGCCTAGCATGATTTGTCTAAGAAAACAGCAGGTTGAAAAGTAAAATAGTCCCAAGTCTAGATTTTTCTGAAGTAACAGTCCAACTTAGTTTTTTACTTACCTGATTCAAATAATTTAGGTAGGCGTGATTTTTATGTAAAAGTAGTAGCACTTAATTCTTAGTTCTTTTTTCTCTTCCTCCTTTATGGAGAGATTACCTAATTTTTTCCCCTAGGTATTTAGGTCTAATCATAGAACAACAAACTTGAGTGGACACTTCATTTGTATTAAGGTTTGAAAATTGAAAATGTTATCTGAATAAATATTTAATAGCAAAATTTCTCTAGAAATATATTGTTACAGTTTGACTTAAAGAACTTTAATCGGTATGTTAAAAGAGATTTTACTACACACATGTGGATGGTTAGTCCTTAATGCTAAACCTAATACCCATAAATTTCTTAGATATTTATAGTACTGCCTTGACGTCTGCAACAAAACTGTTAATAAGAGCTTACTTATTGCCTCATGGGAACCTGTCAGATACTGGCCTTAGATGATTTTCCGACTGGGACCAAATTGCCATCCCTAAGTTTGTCTGTATTGAGGTATATCTTAAGCTAAATTTTGATTCCTGCCAGAAGGCCTCTTAGGAGCATGCTGAGGACCTGCAGAGTATCAGCAATGCTTCTGTGCCCCCTGCCACTCCTGTGGTATGAAAGATGCCCTAGATAATTCCAATAAAGGTTACTCTGGGGTCCAACTTAAGACTTTTAGAAAGCTTTAATACTCAAATCTTATTTCATG